TATATACACTTTAACTGACATTAATTAAATTAATACCAAATGGAGATCGTAATTTTTTTCTCTTTTGCACTTAGTGACACATCAAAAATAATTCATCAAAATTACAAAAGAAAATGACACCACAACTTTTAAGCTGTTTTGCTAGACTTGGAATCTATTAATATTTTAATTAAAAATGCCATTTTAAACAATGTGAAAATTATCTTTATAATTAAATGTCAATATTATTTCGTAGATGTAATTTTGTACGATATTCCTTATGGGATATCAATTTGTGCGTCTTTATATACATTTATATAATATTTTAATATAATATTTTCATATCATTTTCAAAATATTAATATTATCTGCATTATTTGTATTATTATAATTAATTTTTACTAATAATAATAACTTGTCAAATATAATACACATATATATAAAATAAATTCATTACGTTAGGAAAAATTAAAAACTTTCCATAATAAAATAAGAAATTTCTAAATTTCGATCTTTATAATAGAAACAATTCACTGTGGTTTGCTTAATTTATCTATTTATTTATTTTTTTATGAATTAAGAAACCTTTGATTTTAAAACGTTAAATATGCTAATTCAAATAATTTAAAAGATGACAAAGCAAGCCGGTTGACAAATTAATAATAAAAATATTATTATAGTTTACAAAGTAGAAAAAAATCATTTTTATTCGGTCATTAAAAGCATGTGAAAATATGCCTTTATAACTCTTACCGTATTATTAATATTACTATAAAAATTATTAACATTACTATAAAGATTATTAACATTACTATAAAAATTATTAACATTACTATAAAAATATATTAACTATTTTCTGTTTAAAATTGAGTCTTTATTTTATGTTTTTATTAAATTTTATCATCTTTTTATCTACACCGTTTTTTTTTAACTGTATGTGTAATATTAATATAGGAATAAAATCGAAAATATGAAAAGGAAAAATGCTACATTGTAAGTCAAATGAAAAATTAGTATGAACTTATTGAACACCTTATTATGAAATAAAACTAAAAGACGTGACCTATATTAGAATTTTAGAATTACTCATTATTAACGCTAAGTCTAAAAAGTAAAACCTTACGATTAAATACCTAAGTAATAAGTAATTAGAATATTCTTGCCACTTACAAATCGTAGAAATTAAACGTAGTAGATGTATAAATTAATTCAAAAGCTAATAGGTATTTAATAGATAATTACGAATAAACCTATAAGTATTTATGATAATATAAATAGATGCATCTTACTAGTTTAATCAAAATTCGATGGATAAATAAGCTTTTAATAACGAGGAAGAGGAGATAAAATTGAAAATCTTTTTAACAATTAGATTATTTTAGAGTAGTCAATAAAATACGCATAGCGATTTTTTAACAGGAAGAAGCACCTTTACATATGTAAATAAGTATATAATTATGTATAAAAGGTAAAATTTAACAAATTTAGTCATAATGTCCAACACATAGAAAAAATGCATTTAAATACTGCCTGAAATTTTTAATACTAAAAACAAAAATTATAAATACTGTTTTTTTTTTTTTATTTATATATATATATATATATATATATATATATATTAGAAAAAAGAGAGGAGAACGCTTCAAGCGTGAAACTAACAATCATCATGTCCACACTGTTTATATTTAAAAACGTTAATCCCATGAATATAGTAAATTTCAGAGCACATATTTTTATATATGTGTGCGTATGTGTATATGCGTGAGTGTGCATATATATAAGCACTAAAGTATATATATATATATATATATATATATGTGTGTGTGTGTGTGTGTGTGTGTGTGTGTGTAATAGCGTTTAGGATTAATACAAATATGATATTTGTCATTTACATGTCATATTCAGCATCCCGACTCAAGAGTTTCGTAGACGGGCCCTTTAATAATCGCTCTGCCAACATTTTAGGAGGCATCAGCAATTGATTTATAGAGTTAGTGTGCTTATATATATAAGTGACAATAATTTATTTTGTGTGATATTAATATATATATATATATATATATATATATATATATATATATATATATATATATATATATATTAGAGAGCCATTTTTGTTTTTGTTATGACTTTTCTTTATTGTAGAGAGCGTCTGTTTATCTCTCTCTCTCTCTTTCTCGTGTACGCTACATAAAAGTCATACTTTATTACTTACTATGACGTTAAACATAAACGGATTTGTATACGGTATTAAAATAATAATGACAATTAAATATCACTATCAATATGTTTATAATATAGTGAATTTAAGTAATAACCTGTATCCAATAATAATAGGATATGCATGAAAGAAGAACTATTCAGATATAATGGAAAGTGGATTGACAAGAAGAAATGTACGAATCCAAGTAAAGCCTAAGAGAAAATACAAGACAAAGCAATTTCGAATAGTTTTCAAAACATAAGCATAACAATTGTAAATTCAGCAAAGTTTTATCTAAAAATATTGTCCCTTGATAAATGAGACATAAAACTCATATTTTACATTCATTTGCCTCTTTTCTCTTTTTCTCTCTCCCTCTATCTCTTTCTTACACATACACACACGCACGCACACACACACACACATATATAGAGAGATAGATAGATAGATAGATAGATAGATAGATAGATAGATAGATAGATAGATAAGGAGAAAATAAAGAAATAATCAGCTAACTAGCTACATATAAAGGAAAATAGAAAAAGAAAGATATAAATGAATACATATATATATATATTAACAAATAACACCTTTTTGGACCTGAGGAAGATCAGAAAATGGTTGAAAGCGTTAAACCCAGTGATAAGAACTAGGGTTAATTTCTGCATAGTCCTGAATCAATCAACACTTGTGCGAAAACATGTGGAACTTTATTTAAAAAATTAACAAGTCCTCCTTGTTCGATGTATTTAATCATATCTGTATGAATTAAAATATTTTACCCAATTATATATATATATATGTATATATATATATATATCCTAAACATATATGTTTTGTATATGTCGAAATTGCTAGAAATATCAATAAGAACTATGGACAATTTCTGACAAATCTTAAATCAATTATTGTCCCCCTGGATAAACTACATAAAAAAAAAAATTTTCATTGTTTGTCGCATTCAATAACGTATGTGTGTGTGTGTGTGTGTGTGTGTGTGTGTGTGTGTGTGTGTGTGTGTGTGTGTGTGTGTGTGTGTGTGTGTGTGTGTTTTCGAAACGCATATATTTTTATTCATATCTACGTATATACATATGGGAGTAGAGTGCTTACTGAGAGAAAACATATGTAAAAGTTAGAAAAAAATAAGTTAAAATGAGAAGTGAGCATTACATTCAAATGAACAGATTTCGAGGAAGAGAAAATCGTAAAACCATCCACAAAATATTTTTCCTTTGCAGACATGCACGTTTTAAGCATGTCTTTTTTATTGAGATTTGTTTATTTCTTATTATTATATAAATATAATAATAATAATAATAATAATAATAATAATAATAATAATAATAATAATCGAAATAAAAAATGTAGAAATTGAAAACAAGAATAGTACCAGTCATAGTAGGTGCGCTTGGAATGATAAAAAAGGAACACAACATCACATTGAAAAAAAAAAGCCCTGGAAATCCCAGCTTAAGAGAAATACAAAACTTGTCTTGAAAAATACAGCCCACACACTAAGATGAACTTTGTCCATGTAAAGCTAGTGATGTTATGGGAGTTAGAAAAATAAATCATGAAATGTAGTCATAACAACACGCCACTACCTGAGGACTTACACTAGTAGAAATCGAAATATATTAATGATGATAGCAATAATAATAATATATATTTATTAAATTTGTTGTGGGGCGTCTATTTCAAATACAAAATACCCCCTATGATAATGTCTAAAGTAATAAAGAAAATGTCGGATGAAAAATAAATCCATTTAATTCTTTATAAATAAATTACATTTTGTAGAAACATATAAAAAAAACAGACTGTTTCTCGCAGTGCGATTTTCCTAGTGGGCGTTTTTTTTTTTTTTTAAGTCTCGGACGCTCCGATGCGCTCGATTCCTTTTGAAGAAACGTGTAAAAGTAAAACGTCTAAGGATAACACACACCCATTTTGGAAATTGCACAGCATGAAACAGTCTGTTAATAGGTAATTGATGAAAACAATGTTATTTTTATCTGTATTAAAATCTCTTTTAATTGTATTTAAAATAGATCACTCTTTTGTATATGTAAGAGAAGAGATACACAAATTAGACACACTATATATATATATATATATATATATATATATATATATATATATATATATATATATATATATATATATATATATATATATATACTTTTATATTTATACACACACAGACACATACAACACACACACACACACACACACACACACACACACACACACACACATACATATTTCACGCTTTCTCAATAAACTTAAGGTCATAAACAACTCTCCATGCAAACTGTATATACACTGATATATTAAAGATTTTTTTTATGTTTAACGTTGTTATTTTATAATTTTATATTTTATTTAAAAAAAAAAAAAATGTCTTTAATAAATAAATTGTCGGACCTTGTCCATTTCTTAACACTGATATATATATATATATATATATATATATATATATATATATATATATATATATATATATACACATAGTTTTTTCTAAATGCTAAATAGTTTTTCTAAATTACTATTAAGAACCATATGTATACGTTTCAATAAAAAAAACATTTTCAAATTTAAATGAATAAATAAACGAAAGAAATTTAATAGTTTCGTGATATAACATTTTCTTCTGATTCCATCATTCGTTAAATAAACCTGTACCAATAAATATAGTCATTTATAAACATAGTAATAAATATAGTCATTTATAAACATAGTAATAAATATAGCCATTTTCAAATATATATTGTCATATCTTTTTGTCTATATATGTTTGCGTATTTGCCTACTTATGTCTCGGTTTTCAACACGCACAAAAATATATATGGTAAATCAAAAAAGGAGATTGAGAAGAAAAACCCTGCTTGTGTACACATTTTTGTACAAAAATTCCAAGTGCCCATTCTTTTAAACGATAAAATGAATACGCAGTTTAAAAAAAAAATTCTTTTTGAGAAAACTTTTGCACACATCTAGCATAAAGAAAAAATCAGCAAATATAGGCCCTACTATTGAGTTTAAATAGTTTTATCTATCTATCTATCTATCTATCTATCTATCTATCTATCTATCTAAACTTGTTCATCCCTCTCTCACTCCCCCCTCTCTCTCTACCTTTCTCTTTTTGTTCTTGTTTATCTATTCCAATTTGGTCACATCTATCTATCTATCTAGCTAGCTAGCTAGCTAGCTAGCTTTCAAGCAAGTTTGATTAAAAATAATAGATAAGTTCTGCGTGGTTAAATTTTTTACTATATTTTTTTCAATTTTCGAATAAGGTATTGTAATATTTTTTAATAATATTTTTTTTCTTGACCATCGCATTTTTTGTGTTCGAAAATTGTTTCATTGATAGTTTACTTATGCATTGCATGCGATCAGTTTTATGAATGTATTTTGCGATCATTGTCTTATACCGTAATCTGTACAAATATATATATATATATATATATACGCGCACACTTATTATTATATAAAATATATATTTCTGCATATTGACTTGTGCTGACATGCGCATCTATGCTTACAATACTATGTAGTACATTATTATGTCTCGGAAGAGAAGTCATTGAGATAGATAGATAGATAGATAGATAGATAGATAGATAGATAGATAGATAGATAGATAGATAGATAGATAGTGAATATATATATATATATATATATATATATATATATATATATATATATATATATATATATATATATATATGCTGAGGTGCGGATTTAGCTGAATATAACATCAATCAATTAAGTGGCAAATTACATTTATTTGTATTAATCAAATATGTGTGTGTGTATAGGAACGATACATATAATATAAGCATACATGTACACTATATCATATTTTCATATGTTTTTATACTTTTAAGATAACTATCCTACATTAATTTCAATTTATGATTTCTGTTTCTATAAGAAATGTTTATAATATCTTATTTAATAACGTGAAATTTCTTTATGCAACTGAATGTTTGTTCATCATATTGTAAATAATTATTTTTAATGGTATATTTATTGATATTTATTAACTTAAGATCATTGTTCATTAGGAAGATATAATCCCAAAAGTGAAATAAAATATTCTAATTTTATTGAGCGATGAAAAGACAATGTTGGTAATTGTAAAGAAATTGAACAGAGAATATATAACAATAAAAAAAAGGATAAAAAATATTGGCTAGATACGAACAAGAAACAAAACTGGTTTTAAGAATGTTATAAAAAACAGATTCAACAAAAACGGTAATAAAAACTAAAAGTGGATTGACTAGCAAGAAAATATTTGAAGAAATTGTTTTGTGAATGCAAACAGAAAAGATGCAGAATTTTAAGAACATTGCCTAAAGACATGAGAACAAGCAAACTACCATCTTTAAGTAAACATCCCAAAAAGAATCATGTCAGTCGAACAAACTACATGAAAACCTATTTCTCAACAATCATTTTTACTGATGAATCTAAAGCTATTTGTATGTTCATCCAAATTACTGGAATAGAAGGTTGGTCATTCATGGAAATCGTCAACTGATAGAACTTTGAAGGTAACAGTAGGGAGTTAAAATAAAGTTTTGAACCAAGTAAATTTAAAGAATTCTTTAAAAAAATCGTGGATATTTTTGAGTGGTACAGGACAAAATTTAAATTTTATGCTAAAGAGTATATTCGTTCAAGACAATATTTTTAACTATTTCTGGTTTTGCTAGAAAAAATTATTGCAAAAAAGCCAAACTAATGTGATGGACGATCAGCCAATCTAGAAAAGTTAGAAGATAGTATGATAAGGTATATGAAAATGAAAGATAATATTCAATCAATTGCTCTCTAGGAAACTATAAAACTGTTTCAAGTAATGTTAAAGTTTTAAAAAAAGTAGAGATGTTAATAAAATCAATAATTAAAAAAATAATGAAAGTTATAGAATGTCAAAGAGCCAATTATTATAAGTTAAATATCATATATAGCTTATATTAACATGTACAATAATAACATAATAATCTATCCAGCTTATGAGATATTGTATTAGCTAAATAGCCTATATTTTTTTTATTTAATTAATATGAAAAATAAATTTTTGTTACATTTATATTGTTTGCATAATAAAACCGGGAACTTCCAAAGCAGGTTACTGCTGTCAATATTTTTAAATAAGTATATATATTATAAGCTGAAACAATATATTGCTAATATAGATATAAGTATCTCCTAAACATTTTACCAACTTCAGTTAATACTAATTTTATTGTGAAAACATTAACTTAAATAATAAAATTACATATAGCGCGCGTTTG